CAATATGTGTGTGGCATATGTCTCCTTTGACTTTTTAAAGATAATCTCTTTAGTAATACTTCATCTACCATTTTCAAAACTTAAGAATACTCGTATCTTCTGTAGATTCAAGTGTTACAGGACATTTTCTGTTAGCCGCAATCACTATCTAAGCATACTATCAACTGTATATATGCAGTCATTTCTTCGAACCACTCGTTGGATAAGCCAAAAATTCCTTCTCAAACATTATGAGTAGGGATGGATTTTGATGACCTAAAGCATTGACAAAAATGATCAATAAAATGCTCTTAAAATGCTTTAAAATTTCCCTAAAAACAAAGAAAAATTACATAAGCAAATTGATCAAAACCACTTCAGACGAACAACTCAAGCTGTTGGATATGATACTGATGTAATCGAGGCTTCTTCCTTTTGTTCAAACGAACTCAGCTTGCAAACTTTTGGTTTGGACTGTTCTTTAAAAGAAAATCTCTGCACTTAGGTGAAATAGGCAGAACTGACAATGGCGGTGATAGGCGTCACAGGAACCTTAGATTACATACCAATCAAAATGGCTGACATTACATATATGAGCGAAAAAATCAAATAGGCTACTTAGGAATTCTGAGGTGAATATTTGTTCAACCTAGTAAATACTGTTTGAAGCAAGTACCATTAAAATTATATTAAAATCGATAAAATAGAAAAAAATAATTTGCATTAAATATGATGAAAAGGGTAAAAATGTCTTATTAATCTAAAACGACGAAAAATGCAAAAAAAATAAAAAAGAAAGGACTTTCATAAACATCCCCTTATTAAAAATTACTCTCTGATCAGGAAACAGCTCGTCACTTTCTCAAATATTCCACTGTCCGATAGGGCTACGCAGACGCGAATCATTATAATTAAGATTCTTGTTTTATCCATAAAATCATGTGGGCATGCAGAGATGCGACATCACCAATAAACCATCGATGTTTTGATACATCAATGTTTCGATATATTGATGTTCAAAATTAAAACACTGATGTTAATAATACACCGTCAAAAACCATTGATGTTATTTAAATGCACACGGCAATTTAAATGCGAAAAAAGTAAAAAAAATAATTTACAAAACTTTTTCCTATTGAATATTGCAAATATAAAAGACAATAATTGTCGACCCAAGATCTCGAAATTCTATGCAGAGACTAAAACATTTTTAATATTTAAAGACTTATTGTTCAGTTGTAATACTATAAGTCACATAAATCATCAAATTCAGATTATTTCAGGCAAGGGTGTACTCATGTACCCATTTCACCCTCCCTAATTATATTCTTGCAGGATTACTAACGACCTAGACCAAAACCACCGCCCCTTTCTTTCAAAAAGAAAAAATAGAGGAACAGACTCCTTTTACTCGACTACTCTCAAGCGCTATGATTGGTTGCTATTTGTCTGGTGGGTCAACGTTCCCCCTTTATCCGAGAGTCATGGAAACATTCGATACACCACAGTCTGGGATGGGTGGTCGTCTGGGAACCCCGAGGATCTAACGACACCGAGCCGGTGTCCGACGGTATAAAAGTTAATGTCTGACTACGACTGAAGATAACTGCTCGGTTAAAACAGGAATACTCCACAGATCCGTTCTGCAGAATTTCCTCCGCTTTTTCAGATCTTTTTACTCTAGGACTCTTTGAGATTAAATAATGTACAATTAAGAGAGATGTAAAAGCTAAGGCTTATTTAATTATCGTATTTTCTAATTCAAAAAATTAAACACAGATAACAGAAATATACTATAGCACAAAATATACCTGCTAAGAAAAATCGGCCCACCCCTTTTGCTATACTGCACAATTAAAAGCTGATTCCTCTTCTCGCCGCAGAGCGTTCAGTTTTGAGCGATAAACACACGAGAACACTGGCTGAGAGTTCCTCCTCAGGGCGACTTCGATTGGTTGTGATCGTTTTCATGCAGCTTAAAAACGCGCGTGGGTTAAAAACCCTATTGAAATAAATTTCTTCATAGTTATCAACTCATAAATTATACTTTTCCCTCAAACTCAAAATTTTCCCCCCCAAACATCAATAGTATTTGCTAATTACATCCAGACGAAAAAAAAGTAAGGAGGACGATCCTCCCTTGCCTCCTTGAGAATTCGCCTGACTCTCAGTTTCACTGATAACGGGGTATGGTAGAAAGAAATTGTGAGCTAGTCCGGCGCACCGATTTTTGATCGCTCTGCGCAGCACCAGCACGTGTTACGTCAGAGTGGGTAATTGACCTGGGTAGAGGTCCCCCTCCTCCTCCATCCCCTACCGAAGATGTACATGACGGAAAAATACAAAACAGATTTTTTTCAAGTTGTTCTTGTTACTAGATTGTCATCACATTTATTTATCTTCACGCTTATGTTATGTATTGTAACTTCAGAGTTCAATTTGGCAACGAAAAACAGAGCTGCGCTTTATTTATTTTTATACAAACTCATTAACAATTTTTGCGAATCGGATTTGTCTGTCATATTGCTGTAAGCTTGTAAAATTGAAATACTGATCTTGCAACATAGTTGATAGCATATACATTTTGAGTCGACGCAATAGCGAGAAACTTCTTTCATTTCTGAAATTTGACGATTATGAAATATTTTTCTCAGTCCAAATTCCTACGGGGCATTCAACCACTCAGAATTTTTGTGTGGGTATAGCTAGGTATAATGTGGGTAACACCCGTGCGTGTAATGTGGGTAACACACAAGCGTCATGACCACAATACGGGCACTTCGTATGAAAAGCCAGACTAGACGCTCGCCGCCATGTTGTGTGGAGAGCGAGAAGTGTTGAGAAACATTTTGAAAGTGGTATGAAGAGACAATTTCAACAGTGACCAACCAAAAAGAACATGATGGTGTAATTTGAATAAAAGATGCGATATTTTTTATTTCAATGACTTATAACATTGTGATACTTTTGGTATCTGGCTGCATTTCAAATTCCCACTAATATAACGATGCAAACTGGTACCAGAAATTACTTGGCTGAAGTCAGATACGACGCGCAATAGCTCACCTATTTCCGCCATGAAACGAGGCAATGCCTAGCGCCCTTGCAGACTTCGCAAAGCCTGTGGTGGCACCTGGTAAGAATAGCGCACGTGTTGAAGTGCATTTTACACACAATTTTTTCGTTTTCTTTCTTAAAAAAAAAGTTTAAAAACCGCATCGTCCATTCTTCATAATATACAAAATAGAATCGAAGTACTTTTTGTCGCGATAGATTCTCGACATTCTGTATATCATTCTAATTTACTTAATTGATCATCAAATATCCACTGTTTACTTTTTTCCATTTACTATGATTGGGGAGGGGATAAGTAATTTTAATAATTTTTGAAGTATTTTTGAAATTTTTGTGACTTAGTGCTAGTTGAATTTTATTTCTTATTGTGGTTTCATATAACACTGCGTGGAATATATTATATGAATCCATGGGGCGTCAACCAGCAATCTTTTTAGGAAAAGCTCCCAGGTTTTTTTTTTTTTATTAAAAGTTTCACGATTTCTGGGTTTGAATTGGCGGCGGACTCCTGTTTGTGTTCCGTATACCCGGATGTGTAATAATACTTTTTAAATCAATAATTTATTAGAACGCATATTAATTGTTTATTTTGGGATATTTCTGAACCAAAAAAACATTTAAAATGTTAAAGGTCGTTTGTTTTAACGTAAAAAACATAATTGCTCGTAAAATCTTTCTTTGAATACTTTCAATGGTTTACCAACATCGTAAGTTAATCAATAAATACTTAATTAAACCACATTAAAATATAAAATGCTGTAAAATAAAAGGCAAGATTATTATTTTCTCTCTTCCATCACTTATAAGTTTTCTTTGAAAATGAAAGTTTCATTTAGCACACGAAAGTGAAGAGCAACTTCAAAGATTGCTTTAGTTAGAACCTAATGATATTTGTTCAAGTGACATTTAAATATTGATAGAAATGTATAAATAACCCCAATCTGCAACTATATGTACTTCAAAAATAGCTCGCCCAGCGTGGGGCTCGAACCCACGACCCTGAGATTAAGAGTCTCATGCTCTACCGACTGAGCTAGCCGGGCAACGCGCCAAAGCCGGCTAAGTAAATGCTAATTATACAAAATCATAAATAAAATACTCAAAACAAAATTTTCACTTTCTTTCTTTGGCTTTAAGGGCCATATTTTTATCTGCTTCTGTGCATTATCTGCAGAGAATGTGTACAGAAACATACTTTGGAAACAAGTTCTTTTCCATGCTGTTAAATATAGTCGGAAATATATTTGGAAACTTCGATGGGGAAAAGATTAAATTGGTACACGTTTTTTAAGTTCCCAAGCCGCTATGTACAGGCCTATAATAGACCTTTACAATCCAATTATTTTCTATGTGGTAAATCACGAATTCCTGGCGTAGTAAGAATCGCAAATCCATGAATGACACCTACATTAAAAATGTGATAATAGTAAAACAGATAATTTGCTACTATTGAGTGTACTTGATAACACGGCATAATGAAAAATATTTCCATACATTGTAAAAATTTGTAAAATGGCGCAGACATTTTATTCATTTTAATGATAATCCCCAAAATATTTTTGCTTTGAAGTTGCATGACAGGTGAAAATTAATAATTACTGAAGAAAATTAGGGGCGAGAGGATTTCTCTTATTTCCCGCCCCATAGATCTACGCCTGTCTTTTATGTATGTATACCAAGCTAAGGAAAGATAACATGTTTGTTCAATTTATAAAATAACACCGCTATATACACCACTGTTGTATCCCCTACACTTTGTCATTCAAATTTCAGATGCAAAGGGTAGAATTTTGTAAATTATACTGAAACTAGTGATGCTTGGACAGTGCAAACTTTCTCAAATTAGTTCCATTTGCTATTTCCAAAAATTGAAAACTCAAAAGTCCCTTGTTTTAAGCATGGGAAAATAATTGAAGCAATTTTTGAAAAAAAAATTATTGAATAAACTTCGATTTTGCATCAACCTTTCTTAATTTTTTTTTTAAGGAAAATGTACATGACCTGTGCAAAAGATCAAATTTTTTATTACAGATTTTATTTAAGACAAGATATCTATCTTCAAATTTGAGGTTTTGCAATTTTAACTTTTCGCAAATTTTGTAATATTGTAAATTTTCGCAATTTCAGAGTTCGCCAGAAATATGTGATGTCATTTCATACCCTTCTCATATACACTTCATGAGTACATTTAAAGAATAAATTTTGACCAGTTTTTGAGAAAATAATTATTTCAGAAATACTTAAATTTCACGCAAAATTACGTGAAAACCTCATATTTTTGAAAAAATTTCAAGTAATTATTTTAAGACATGTTTGAAAAATAGATTTAATTAATAGGAGAAAATCTATATCTATTTTTGTTTATCTATTGAAAATCTCTATCATTTGGAAATAAAATATTTTTATCATCTTTTTCTGTGGTTGGATGAAGAATATGTACTTCTGGCAATGTTCTATTTTTCATTTTCAACTCTTGCAAAATGCAGATTCTCATCACTGGACATTGAAGTCACACAGCCTCATCGTGTAATAAAATCTCAGTAACTACTTTTATTTACATTCCCCTTGCATTTCACTAGAAACAATGCCTCGTCAATTCAAAAATATCGGTCTCAATCTTCCAGCAAAAATCCGATGAATTCCAAGTATATGTCTGTGAATAACTAGGCATTATAAATCAGCGTAACATTTATATCGCCTCTTAAAGCCGATCATTACGTAAACAATATGAAATAACAAGGAAAAGAAACATAAAAACATTTATCCTCACTGACTAACTCAATCTGGGAATATAAGATAACCCCGTATTTTTTACGCGAAATATTTAGGAAAATACCTCATCTAATATTTTAGTAAATATGGTAATCAGTAAATGAAAATCTCAAACACACTGTGAGAAAACACTTATTTGACTTATTTTGCAAATTACTTGAGGCACAAACTCTGCATTTGAAAATAGTGTTCTATTGAATTTCCAGAAAGTGCATAAGATATTTTAAACAGAAAATATTTTCAGATTTATTAAACATGAAAAATATTTTTCAAAGAATTTGTAAGTGCAGTTAAGATAATGAATAACAGCAAAGTGATTCAAATAAATAAAATTATATCTTAAACACAGTTGGCTAATAGCACACCTATGGCAATAGCACACAATGGCAGGCAAGGGTACTAATTGTCAGAGAACAATATATTTATTTTTGATTTCTGTAGTCAGAAAAAGGACATAAATATGAAAGGACATATGTGTAAAAAAGGAGAAGGATCATAGTTTACATCAAGATATTGGATAAAAATATAATTGATTGCACGTAAAATAAAAACAACAAAAATTACAATTTGAGTTGCTCTCAAAAAATTAATATTGGAAGCAAGTCAATTTGAATTTCATTATTTAGAATTTTCAATATAAAATATCTACATAAAATAAAATGAGTTCTGGCATACTTATATTATATACAAATATTTACATGTAATGTAACTGCAAAATGAAATTTCCAAACATAGAACAGGATTCTTCTCACAACACTTACTCGTCATTCAAAGCTATATAAACATTGAAAATAATAAAATAAATTTTCTTCAATTTTGCCAGAACCTGAGGCAACTGAAACACACTCAAAACATTAATATTTTTGTTTCTTCCATGAGTTGTATTTACACACACATTACAAGAACTCCTCAATATGATCTGGTATCTGTATCTAATTTCATGGAGGATATATCCAGAGCAATATTTAAGGAATAAAGATGCTTCTTTTAGTCATCTTTGGTGAAAGCTATTATTACATTAAACTTATGTAACTTATCTTTCATAAGACGCCCATAAAACATTGGAAATTTAACAATATTCTATGGAGCAAGATAAAACCCCAACAAAAACCAATGTCCTTTCACTTTGGCCTTTTTCTGTCATCAATTCGAGGTCTCCCTCCACCTTTTTTGCCACCTGATTGTTGTTTATCTTTTGCACGATTGCTTAACAAAGGATGAACTTCTAGAATAAAAAATATACACTGTTAATACATCATTAAACATACATATGATGAACATTGAAATACTTAAAATATAATTGTTCAATTTTTATAATGATTGTACCTTCAGATGGAGCACCTTCTAATTCAATATCGAATGCACGGTATTTTCGACGTTTTGGAGCAGGGGATGTATTTTCTTTACTGTTATTCCTCTGTTTTTCTTCTTCATTCTGTTGTGCATTTCCCTGTCCTGTTGGCCATCCTTCCTCAGGTTCCTCAACTTCAGGTGCAATAGGTAAAAACTGCAAAGCATCCATATCCTCTCCTTCTTCGTCAGAACTACAAAATGCTGCCACTGGCTCAATTGTAGAGACATCAACCTATTTTTTTAAAAATACAGTAAAAAACTGTAAATAAAATTTAGTTCCACTCACATACAATTAATAGACGTAATATTAAAAGTTAAAATGATCACAATAGTAGAATTTAACAGAGATAAGGCATTCACAATAATCCTAGTTTACACGTTATTTGTAACTAAAACTAGTACATTAAAATATGTCTAAGTAGGGACTAAAAACTACTCCAATTTAGAGAGTTTCCCATTTTATTTAGTGTGATTGTTTTTGACACTTAGATGAAATTATTACTATTTCTTCACCAAATCATAGAAATTACATAATACCACTATAATACATCACCTTATGAAATATTCTTTGTTCCTGAATATCAAATGAACAAACATAAATTCTACTACAATTTTACTATTCCCAACATTAATCCAAAGTTTTCTGCTTTTCAATTTTTTCACTTACACATTTTCAATTATGTTCATTAATGTTGAAATACACTATAGTTCATAATTATTAACAGTGAGTACAAACTTTTGCATTTGTAGTATAAATTGCAGGGCTTCAGAATATGTATGCCCATAGGAAACTGTTTACCACGGTAATGACATTAAGTAAGGCGCCGATGGTTACATTTCTCAAGATGGAGCAGAGAGGTGAACAAAAAGATACCAGAGACCTTCCCAAGCTCAGCAAGTCTGAAAAGTGACAATATTCCTATTCTGTGCCCCAGAGCACAGACATAAGTCAGGAGTAACACAGGGTTATCTTTGCTTGCCGGCCTCTTCAGTTGTTGTCAGGGTCAGTGAGAACACTTAGTGGCTTGTCAAGTTGAATGCATAAATTGAGTTTTACATCTCATGTCAATCTTCACATTAAATCAAATGTACTGCATTACAGCCACACCCTTACTCCTCAGCAGTGGTGTTAATGAAGAGGAATAAAATGTCACAGGATCAAAACTTAAAACAGATTGGCAGACACATTCCATTAAGAGGATGTCACAGTGCAGCCACTGGGCCAAGAATATTACATTCATAGGAATTCCATTTTTTAAAAGGATTTTTCTTTTTCACCACATGTAAAATTGTTGTTACTGCATGGAGTTATGCTCAACAAAAGTCCATTTTCAATCAAGGCATTTTCCCCACTTGTTCAGAGGTCTAACTTGGAGACATTTTACTGTGCTATTTCTAGCATTTTTCTATGTTTCCACAAGGACCACTTTTACACCCACAAAAGTTACCACCCTCTTTCTCGCAATTACATTTACATTAAACATTTTCTTAGACCCTTGAAAAGTGGAAAAGAGAGGTTTTTATGTATATTACATTTGAAATGTGTCAGTTTCTGTCACATTTCATTCAGCCACACTTCAGTCATTAATTCAGATTTTTTTATTTTCATATGCTAATCAATTTTTAACTTGTTCCTAACACATTGTGCATTGAATGGAACTGTTTTCAATTCACTGTTGATTATTCTGCAAATTATTTCACCTACCTCCAAATCATCTTCCTGTTTCTCAGGACCCATTTCAACAGATTTGTCTTCATCACTCAAGTCGAATTCTGATTCACGTTCTTCATATTCAACATTTTCATCCAATTCTTTGAAATCAGGGGCAAATGCAGACCAATTTTCTACTTGATTCTGGGCCCATACTGACACAACTCCACTTGATATAGAAGCAATAATTGGTCGAACAGGATGCCACTGTGAACACAAACATTATTGCATTTACATACATTACACCAGTAACTCTTAACATTCACAAGGTAGGGAGTTATTTTTTCCAAAATTTTCTGCTATTGAATAACATATTGTTTAAAGTTTTGTGTTTTGTGAGTTGTTTTCATTTGTTGGCTTGTTTGTCCTTCTGAATCCACCATGCATTAAAACTCTTATATTTAACTTCAAAACTCAATTCATAAAAATTAATATGATATATTTTCTAGCAAATGAAATGTGTTTCACAAGTTTTGTTTAATTAGCACTTAATAGATATAGTAGTTATTTCCATCCAAGATAATTCCAGTTATTTTACAATAACACAAAAGTAATTCTAATGACTGGAATCTATTATACATGTGGGTGAGGCATATCTGTGTGTCTGTGTGTGTGTAGGGCAGAGGGGAGAGTGCAGGCATTTATAATAATGATGATGACAAAATTATGTTAAAATATTTTACTTCAGAACTAACAAGTGTTTTGACCTACGTTAGAGCATTTATTTTTGGTGTGTAGTTAAAAAAAAAGCAAGAAACTTACAAAATAGAATTGCACTGGTAAATTAATTTATAAAAGACAGCATAAGCTTCCACAGTCAAAAGTCAACAGACACAGATTCTTGGCTGTCAGGGGCAGCATGACTGGCACAGCTGCCAAATGCATTTCGCTAAGAGAAAGGTTGCAGTATTATAGCTAAATGTTGGCAGCTGTGCCAGGGTCATGCTGCCCCTCAGACAGCCAAGAATCTATTGTATTTACACACAATTTCTGCTTCCACAGTTCTTGTAATGCTTGCTTTGGGTACAGTGGTTCTGAAAGTTTACTGTTGTTGAGTTCGACAAGTTGCAGGTATTACTTGCGCAACTTTTCATGAATGATGACCTTTCTTCCCCCTCTCTGACACAATACACAGTTGAAGACAAAAGCTTGCAGGGTGCACTGATGACAACATTTCAAACAAGTCTTTACTGGTGTGAAATAGAAACAATTTTCTGTTGAAGATGAGAACTTCTGTCTGTGACTTTATCCAAAACATCAAAAGAAATGACCAAAGCAGGTGAAGATTCATCACAGGAAATACCTTGAACTCCTGAGAGAGTTAGAACGTATTGAGAATGTTGTGAAGGCATGACCGATTCCCAAGAGATTGACATTGCTTCATAAAATCTAGTGGCTGATTACGTAATTAATACCCCACTCTACCCACATTTCTTCAGTCCATCGTTCAAGAAAAGTTGCGCAAGTAATATGTGTTAATTAAGGGTTCATGTCAGGCGACAAATTGGAAACATTAACTCTTGGTGAGAAAATTACACAAATTAAGGAACACAAACAAAGCAACACTTTAGTCAAGGTCTTGCCTAAGGTAAAAAAAAAAATTCATTAAAATAAATATGTCTAATACAGTAGTGTATACTTACTACAACATCAAGTAACAACTCTCCTTTTGTACCATGTAATATTTTCACTAAATTGCCTATACTCTTTTCCCAAACATACAGAGCATGCTGACGAGCAGATCCTGCACATATATACTCGCCATCACCTGAGAAGCAACATTTCTTCCACATCGTTCTGCAAATTAAAACAATTGACATTTTCAATTTGAAATTCATTTTTAGCAATGAACCAATGGATGCAAGCACAAAGGAACAATTAAAGAACTCAAAGATAAGAAACCTTGATTGCAATGTATTAATCAATCCAACACTCCTTCTTCTTATCAAATGGGAAGCAATGGAAGCAAAAAAATGATAACCTCTTGACCAAATAACATGATAAATCCCATCCCATTTATTCTGAATCTTGTCATGATGAAAAGAGAACCAAAGAATATTCCAGCCCCTCCAATATCCTTAGCCTCTTCACAGCAGTCTGCTTTGAAAACTTTTATGAAGTTGGTCCAAGGAATTGGCGATGAATACCCCCAAACTTTTCAAGGTTCCTTTTCTCTCTTATCTACCAGCTCATACTTACTTGTTCACGAGATCCTGCAATTTTTGGATAGGTTCAGGCTCACCATCTTTTCCACACGTAAGTACTTCTTGACTATCATATACTCGTATCACTCTGTCAGCAGTATTAATTAAAAAGCACCTGAAATGATCAACCATGGTTGTTAGGAAATATAACTTAATGCATAGTCTAAGAACTTCAAAATTAATTAACTCACTCTCCTCGGCGTGCAAATTCGATACTTTTCACTGCAGTAGCACTAGTAGTGCCTTGAGTAACTTTGAATGATGCTTTTAGCTCCAGGTCTGAGGTTGAAAGGACAAGCACCTTTCCTTTAGCGTTTCCTGTGTATACATACTGTCCTCTTCGATCAAATGATGCCACAATATTCAAGTCCGTCTACAATAACAACACATTTTTTCCATATACAATATCAAGACGACAATGAAATTTTTCTGCATTTTTAACAATTAAGCAGAAGAATTCATACATACATCATCATCCAAAGGAACAATTCGGTGATTACCATCAGTTTGAACTAAAACGGCAGCATGTCTCATAGGACACACAAGAAAAATCTTATCGTTTCGAGGATGGAATTGTACCTAATATGAACATAATACACAGTTGAAAGACATTAAAATATGCACCAAAAAAAAACAAGACATCCACCAAAATAAGATGCTTTAACTTCTCTCTAACCTTACATTTTCAAGTATAAGAATAATACCTTTAAAATTGGTGAAGGAAACCGATATTTCTGGTCACATTCTCCTGACAGAACATCCCATATACACACATTATTATCAGTGGATGCACTTAGTAATTTATGTCCATTTCGAGACCAACTAGAAGAAAGATATGACTAGACAAAATTGACTCTATAGTTGATTCATAATAAATATACAAAGATGAATTTGAACTAACCTTATAGAACAGACTGGATGTACATGGGCACTAATAATCTTAGCAATGCCTCTAGTAAGAAAGTCCCAAATTACAATTCGACCATCATTGCAACCAACAGCTAGTAAAGTACCTCGTTTATTATAAGCACATGTGACAGCTAAAGAGATACAGTCAAGGGCACCATCAAATTCCTGTGACAAAAAAAATAATTTGCATTTAGTGGTAAGTTACTCACCACCATTACAAGTACAGCAAATAAATATCCATGTAAAGTTATACACAACCTACCTCAGGGTAATTTTGCCCAAATGACTCTGAAGAAAAGAAAGAAAAAAATTATTATTTTCCATAAACACACTGAACGTATACCATTCTACAACGCCGAAAGCCTTACCCAAAAGTTCCAAATTCATGATTATAACATAGAACAGAGGCCTGTTATTGTCGAAAGTACAGATAAATTAATACAGAATTATTCGGTTTTCATGAAAATAACTTAAGTCTGCGAAATAACTGCGCTTATACTACCCACTTCAACCTGATACAAAACACAAACACACACCACAACGCAACACGCATCTACCTCCCCTTTTGCCCGCGCGTAACAAAACATGAAAATGAGTGAATCGGTCGCGATTTGGAACGATAGATCGATCGTCTTACGAATTAAGTCATAATACTTGAAAATATTTCCATCCAATTTTGAAAATGAATTAATGTCGTGATCCCTGAGAAAAGAGAAGCTTTGTCCCTTATCGTGCTCCAACCATGGTGTAATAAGAGATATTTTTTTATACCGTAGCTCGGACGCACTAATGGATTCCCGAAACTGCGAGATCGGAGAACCAAGGCCGGGAACGACAGATGTCAAGTCGCGAACGAGGGCATTCAGTAATTTGAATTAGTAAAAAAATATATATTGAGGGGTTGGATTAATAAATTGTTGAAGAATACAGTGATCTATCTACCAACCATGGATCAGCCTTTACTTCTGAACGTTATACATACGTACATACGGAGTAATATACATAGTGGTATCACATTTTTATACAGTATCTCCAAGTTAAATGCCTTATGACGACGTTGTGTCACACTCTAGTGATCCCATTATTCGAATAATTTTCTTTTGCAATGTGAAGGTCTGAATACTACATGATGGGGTTACCCAGAATATTATGCCATATCTCAGGCGGGAATGCACATTTGCAAAATACGCGGAACGAGCTGCATGAAGGCTGGCAGAATTTGAAAGAATTCTGAATGCGTAACATAATTTAGTGTTTAATTTTGTTATATGTACTACATTTCATTTGAGGTTTGACTGAATTGAGAGACCTAGAAATTGTGTTACCTGAACATCAGCTAATTGCATATTGTTCATTTTCAATGGAGCATGCGATTGCTGATTTCAAATGCAAAAATGCACTGAAACTGTTTTTCCTTCGTTAACTATTAATTTTTTTTTTACAAAACCAATTTGAAACTTCTAATATCGTACTATTTATTGTTTATATTTAGCAAAGAAAACTCGTGTCATCGGCAAACAAAAGCGTTCTTGATCGCTAAGGCAGTAGTGCCGTAGCGAACTCGGACTGAAGGATCGCGGGTTCGAGTCCCGCCTC